GGCCATCTGAGACTCAATCCCCACCACTACACAATATGTCCATGTAAAAAATATGCATGTGAACTTGAACTCACTGAATCTAAAATTAAAATAAAAAAATACCCTATAGAAAAATGGAATAGAACTGAAAGAAGATATAGGACAAATCTATATTTATAGTTAAACACTTCAGTACTTTTCCCTTGCTAATTCATAGAACAAGTAGACAACACACAAACAAGCAACCGGTAAGAATATAATGGGTGTGCCAAAAAAAGTTTAACATTTTAAGCTATGTTATCTATGTATTACTTTTTGAAGTTGAATTTAATTTCGGTAGCAATGTGTAGTATGACATTCACTCCATTTTGTTTGACTTTTGTGCCTGTTGATTAACATCATCTTTTGAGTGAATGTCATACTTAAAATGTATATACATTTTTGGGGTACCCCTGTAGAAGATCTAACCATTATCAGCCAACTGAAATCCGATATATAACACTTACTAAAACTGAGACACACATTCATTTCAAGTGCCCATGGAACATTTATCACATTTTGGACCAGAACAAAATCTCAATAAATTTAAAAGACATAAAAATCATTGAGACTGGAATCAATCACAGAAAGATACCAGAAATGTCTAAAAATATTTAGAAATTAAACAACATCCTTTATGCAACAACCCATTGATCAAAGAAGTCAGCAAAGTAATTAGAAAAATCTTTTAACTGAATAAAACAAAACAAAACAAAATATAGCAAAATTTGTGAGTTACACTACAAGAGTGCTTAGATCAAAGCATTAACTGTGTATAGTACAAAAGAAGAAAGGTCTAAAATCAGTGGTCTGTGAAAAAAACCCAGAAAAATACACAGTAAAATCAATGAAACCTAAAAACTGATTCTTTGCAGTAAAATCAATAAACTTATAGCCAGAATAATCAAGGAAAAAAGAAGAGAAGATACAAATTGCCAACAACAAGGATGAAGGAGGGACATCACTACAGATCTTACAGAAATAGAATTAGGTAATAAGAGGATACTGAGAACAATTTTATGTCAACAATGTTATATAATCATTACATGAAATGAACAAATTCCTTTAAAGACACAAACTACCAAATGCCACTCAAGATGCAACAGATAACTGGAATAGCTGTAAATCTATTGCACTTTAAAAATTTGTGTTTTAAAAACCTTTCCAACAAAGAAAACTTTAGGCCTGATGATTCCACTGTGGAATTCTATTAAATATTTAAGAAAGAACTCATAACAACTCTACACAAACTTTTTGAGAAAATAGGAGAGGGAACATTTCTCAGCTCATTTTATTAAGATGCTAAAACAAGACAAAACTATCAGAATAGAAAACTATCTAATAAGAACTGTAGAACACATCAATACCTGTCATAAACACAGTTTTTGTCAAAATATGTATCAAAATTTTAGCAAATCAAATCCAGTAAACACATAAGGATAATGAATCATAACCAAGTGTGAAATGCAAGTTTAACATTTAAATATCATTCAAAGTGATGATTAACATTAATGTAATATAGTAACAGATCAAAAAAGAAAAATGATATGATCATATCAGTAGATGTAGAAAAAGTATTTCATAAAATTTAACACCATTCAAGATAATACTCTCAAAAAACTACAAAAAGAAGGGCATTTTTTTTTCTCATCAGGTTAAAAAGCATCTGTGAAAAACCTAACATTATACTTCATGATGTGAGACTACATGCTTTTCCTTTAACATGACAGACAAGGAAAAGAAGTTTGCTATCATCATGTTGATTCAACATTGCATTGTAAGTTCTAGACAGTGTGATAAGGCAAAGAAAAAAGTCATACAGATAGGAAGAGGTAAAACTGTCTATATTTACAGATACATCTATGTAGAAAACCATAAGAAACCTATAAAAAGCAACCAGAATTAATAAGTGAGTTTAGTGAGGTTGCTGAACACAAGGTCAACATACAAAATAATTAATTGCAATTCTACCAGTACTAAAGAAAAACAAGAAATTGAAGTTTAATACCTTTTACAATAGCATAAAACTATTTAGTTATAAATATAACAAAATATGGACACGATTCATAAATTCAAAACTACAAAAACACTATTGAGAAATGTTAAGACCTAAATAAATGGAGATGGATACTATTTTCAGGAATTAAACACTCAATATTGTAAATATGTCAATTATCCCCAAATTGAGCTATAGATTCAATGCAATCTCAACCAAAATTTCCATACTATTTTTTTAAAACAAAAGAAACTGACAAATTTATATAAATTCTAAAATTCATATAAAAAGGCAAAGAATTCAGAATAGTCAAGACAATTTTAAAAGAGAAAAACAAAATTAGAGAGCTGTGCTATCTGACCACTCCTATTTAACATAGTACTGCAAGTGGCAGTCTCAGCAATCAGCCAAGAGAAAGAAATTAGAGGTATCCAAATAGGAAGAGGAAGATAAATTATCTCTACAGATAATATGATTCTATATATAGAAAACCCTATAGATTCCACTAAAAAACCTCTAGCACTGATAAACAACTTCAGTAAAGAACATTCCATACTAATGAATTAGAAAAACCAATATCGATATGATGTCCATACTACCCAAAGCAATCTACAGATTCAATGCAATCTCTTATCAACCTACCAGCAACATTTTTACAAACATGGAAATACTTAAATTCATATGGATGCAAAAAAGAGTCCAGATAACTAAAGCAATCTTCTGCAAAAAGAACAAAGCTAGTAATGTCACATTCCCAGATTTCAAACTTTATTATGAGGCTACAGTAACCAAAAGAGCATGGTACTGGTACAAAATTAAACACAGAACAACAGAACAAGATAGAGAACCTGGAAATAAAACCACTGACCTATAACCAACTCATCTTTGACAAAGCTGACAAAAATATACATTGGGGAAAGGACAATCTATTTAGCAAATGGTTCTGGGAAAACTGGTTAACCACATGCAGAAGAATGAAACTGGACCCCTGCTTATCACCATACACAAAAACTAACTCAAAATCAAAGGCTTAAATGTAAAACTTCAAACTACAAAAATCTTAGAAGAAAATCTGGGAAACACTCTCCTGAACTCCTGGTCTAGGCAATGAATTCACATCCAAGCCCTGAAAGCAAATGCAGCAAAAACTAAAATTGACAGGTAAGACTTTATCAGACTAAAAAACTTTTGCATAGTCAAATAAACCATCAAGAGAGTAAAGAGACAATCCACGGAATGGGAGAAAATATTTGCAAACTATGTATGACAAAGGCCTAATATCCAGAATTTATAAGGAACTCAAATGAATTGACAGAAAAAAAACCAACAGATAACTCCATTAAAAAGTGGGCAAAGGACATGAACAGACACTTCTCAAAGAAAGATACACAAGCAGCCAACAAACATATAACTATATTATCTGATTTTCAGACTTACTATAAAATTAGGACAGTACAGTACTGGCCCAAAGTAATTCAGTAGGTAAGAATATTCTTTAATAAAAGCCACTGAAACAATTGAACATCTATATGTTAAAAAAAGAATCTCAGCTTTTACCTCATGCCATATACACAAATTAAACTTAAACACATCATAGAACTAAAAATAAGAGCTAAAACTATAAAACTTCTAGCAGAAAACAAAGGCGACATCTTTACGGTCTTGGGCTACACAGAGATTTCTTAGAATAAGAACCCCAAAACAATAAGAAGTTGGACTTGCTGAAAATTAAAAATGTCACCTGCATGCAGCCTACTTGTGTAGTTAATCCTTACTTGTACCCCACATAATAAAAGAAAATAAGAAATGTATATACACAAATTTTGCTTTTCAGAAGATAATGTTAGAAAACTACAAAAACAAGTTACAGGCTGGGAAATATTTTTTTGTAAGTCTTTATATTCAGGATATATAACAACTTTTACAACTCAGTAACAAAATAGACAACCCAGTTTAAAAAAATGGGGAAAAGATTTGAATAAACCCCTTACCAAAAGGATGCATGGAATGAATGGCAAAAGAGCATAAAAAGATGCTCAAATTATTTCATTAATGGAATGAAAATTAAAATGATAATGAGATTCCACTAGAATGGCTAAGATGAAAAAGACTGAGAATAATAGCAAGTGTTAGGGAGCACATAGAGCAATTGGAATCCTCATATGCTATTGGAGGGAGCAAAATGGTACAATCACTTTGGGAAATAGTTTGTCAGTTTCTTATAGTACTAAAAATACACTTAGCAAATAATCCAGAAACCCTACCCCTAGGCATTTACCTAAGAGAAACAGAAAAAGTTTATCTACATAACTTGTATATGAATGTTCATAATGGCTGTATTCAAAATAGCTAAATAATGAAAACAATCCAAATGTGCATCAGCTGATGAATGGGTAAACAAACTGTAGTAATACATACAATGGAATAATACTCAGCAATAGAAAGGAATAAACTAATTCTCAAAACAACATGAATGAATCTCAAAGTCATTACGCTAAATGAAAGAAGTCAGACACAAATACCTTCATGTTATGTAATTCCACTTGTATGCATTTCTGGAAAAGGCAAACTACAGTGAGAGAAAGTAGACAGAGGTTTCCCAGAGTCAGAGGTAGGGGAAAGGGATTAATCTGAAGAGGATATTAGGAAGCTTTTTGTAGTGATGAAAATGTTCTATATATTGGTTGTGGTTCATGATTGGTACATATATACATTTGTCAGGGCTCACTGAACTGTTCTTAAAAATCAGTGAATTTTATTTTATGTAAATTATACCATAGTAAAGTTGACGAAAAATAACAAACTGTGTATCAAAATATGAAAAAATACACCTTCCTACTTGCAAGTAACAGTCATAAAATAATCTTTCAGTTTGGGTTCAAAACATCTTTTCCCCCTTTGTAGGATGATAGTCTCAATAAGCACACACATTAAAAGACCATAATCAAGTTTTCTATGAGAAAACAACATCCTCCATGGTTCTTACCAAGAGTAGTGAGTCCCTCTGAGATCGATGTGAGAACATACAGGAGTACTGGAGGCTCTAAGTTGGTGATGAAGCTCATGTGGTCCTGGGTGAGACATTCCAGGAGTGGATAATAAGACTGGCTCAGTTTCCGATATTGCTACAACACAGAGATATACCAAATGTCAAATGATAGGGAAGAAAAAGACATGTTACAGTCCACTGAAAATTGTCATTTATAAGAAATTATAAACCTACTTAAGCAGAAGGTCAATAAATATAAGACAAATGACATAGTAGGTCCCAATTCAGTATTTAAAGGGGTTTTAATAGGCATTTCCTGATCTCTAGAAACCTTAATTCAAAGCTATAACATGATATGCTATTTCAATTTTATCTTACATGGCTGGTATGTAAACGAAAGTAAAATCCCTAGAGCATGAGATTTAGAAGACCATTTAAATTATTTTTCTGAACTAGAATATTGTAACATTGAACAGTGCTTAAAAGTGGTTAGGCAACCTTTCTTTTTGTTTTTTAAACACAAAGAAATTTGCTGTTTTCAACAGGATTTAGTATCAAAGTCTGCAGTATTTATATAATGCCAACTCAACTAAAAATCATAATTAGGTAAAGGGTTTAATATTTACCATACAGAATAGGCAAAAGATAAGTGCATGAGAAAGAAACGTGGAAAATCTCAAACACAATCCAAACCAATATCAAAGAAGCACAACACTCATAAGATAAACCAGAGGAGCTGGGTGTGGGGGCTCACACCTGTAATACCAGATACTTGGGAGGCTGAGGCAGGAGGATGGCTTGAGACTAGGAGTTCAAGACCAGTCTGGGCAACATAGTGAGATTCCATCTCTTAAAAAAAAAAAAAGATAAACCAGAAGTGCATTTCTTTCCTCCTGTGCTCCCAGTCAGGTCTCATTCTATTGCCCATGCTGGAGTGCATCCTGGCTCACTGCAGCCTCAAACTCCTGGGCTCAGCCTCCTGAGTAGTTGGGACTACAGGTGTACACAATGCTCAGCTAATTATTTAATTTTTTTGTAGAAACAAGTTCTTGCTGTGTTGCCTAGGCTGGTCTTGAATTCCTAGGTTCAAGCAATCCTCCAGCCTCAGCCTCCTAAAGTGCTGAAATTACAGGTATGATCTATCGCTCCAGGCCAGAACACTTCTTAAAGTGAGGTTAAAATCACCTCCGTAAGAAATCAGTCGGGATGCTTGTTAAAAATGCAGTTTCCAGATCCCTACTTCAGAGTCATTAAACAAAAAGCTCTGGAGTGAGGCTCTGAAATGTACATTTTTAACATATATGAATTGGAGATTTGCTTAACTATTAGAAAAAAGGTGAGAAAAATTCCTGGAACTATACTAGTTGTCTTGGTGAACTTTAACTGGAGTGAAGAGTCCCCTTCAATGAGGTGATGGTAACATGTTGCTGATTTGACTTAAGTTTCTGCTTTGTCATTTCCATCAAATAGGCATAGCCTTCAGTGAACATTCCATTCTACTACAAGGAGGCTTAAACACTTTGACCTGAGATGTGATCTTACTAAGATTAGTTTAGAAAGGTGAAAGAGGGTACACTAGTTCATTAGAAGGTCAAGGATCACTCCTTACACAAGCTGACTAGCAAAGGCCCTTCAGTTCTTACTTGCAACCTTGGAGTGGGAGCAGGTGGGAAAGCCTGAACTAAGTAAGCCTGAGCTTGAATTTGGTTATGTTACCACATAATTACTGCAAACACATTGGGTACATATTGCCTTTCTGTAAAATCAGGCAGATATGCTAAAAAAAACAAGTCTGATAATGACACAGGTCAGTGGAGGGGCCCTAAAATTTGAATTTCCAGCAAGCATCCCAACTGTTTCTGACAGACATCAAAGTCTGAAGACTACTGACATAAATCACAGAAACTATATGGTACAACAAAAAGAGAACTTGAGGTCACTTAGTTTAATCCATTTATCTTAAAAGTGAGTAAATTTGCCTGGAGAAACAGGGAAGGTGGTTAATTCAAGGTAAATGACTAATGAGTGGCAGAGCTGAGACCATAGGCCGGGTTGCTTAACTTCTAGTTCAACATTCTGCCCACCACACTAGAGTTTTAATGAAGGTCAAACAGCAGGTGAAGTAGAAACAGTAGAAAGGAAGAAAGAGAAAATTCTGTAGCCTACCCTGCATTTTCTGCTCCAGGAAACACAGATCTTTTTTTGAATTACCAGTACAGTTGTAAGCAATTAGTTGAAACTGCTAATTATATATTCTCTATATGTAAAACCCGGAGCACCAGGTTTGGGTGACCAATTTGTCAGAAGGTGATAGTTGCAGCCTTCTACACTGCCCATTTAATTATATAAATATGGCTACTGTAGTTTTCCAAATTCTGTAAGTTAGATCAAGTATGCTGTCTTAAAACATAAAATGTTCTGGTGCTATTCTAACTCCCTGGGCTTCGTTATAACAATTCCAGGCCTGTGGTGGTGTTATTTCACATTTCACACAAAGACTCCCATGATGCAATTGCTTACTAGCAAGTCACTGTGGGACAATGACAGCAGCATTTTGACAAAGGCCTGGAGTACGTTGTCAAAATGGTTGTCCCCATACAACTTGAAGACGCCAAAGCTGACATAATTTCCACATAAGGCAGATTTGAGAGCTGAATAGCAGATGGAGATGCCCTTGAGTTTCATTGGATAAATCTGATCTTTTGAGAGGCTCCCAAGGGACAGGATCTGATTACCTGTTTTAGGGCAAAAGCAGAAAGAGAAAGTGACATAAGTAGATGTCATTCAAAGCAGTTATGGTGCACAGTATTTAACATTTTCACTTTACTGCTAACGTTCACTTCTCTCTAGCACTGTTCCAAAAATTGCACTATTCAATGTAATGAAAAAAATATATAAATACATAAGACACTTTACCTGGAAGTATAAAGGGTCCAAGGGAAAAAAATCAGTCAAGGACATCAGAAAAGCTTTTGTTTGTTTGTTTGTTTGTTTGTTTTTGAGTCAGGGGTCTCACTCTGTCACCCAGACTGGAGTACAGTGGTATGATCATGGCTTACTGCAACCTCAACCTCCTCAGCTCAGGTGATCCTTCCACCTCAGCATCCTGAATAGCTAGCTAGGACTACAGGTGCATGCCACCATGCCTGGCTATTAAAAAAAATTTTTTTTTGTAGAGATGAGGCTTTGCTATGTTGTCCAGATTGGTCTTGAACTCCTGGGCTCAAGCAATCTGTCTGCCTTGGCCTCCCAAAGTGCTGGGATGAGCCACCGCACCTGGTTGAAAAGCTTTTTATCTTCATGGTGATTACATAGATAAACAAATATTTATTGAGTTGTATTCTTAAAATTAGTTCATTTTACTGTATGTTATCTCTTCAATAAAAATTTTTTCCTCTTTTTAAAATTTCAAAGATGTGGGGTACAATTCAGGATTAGGTATATAAGTGGCTGTTGTACAAGTAAAGATTGGGTGTCCCTTTGGTTCCCACTTGCCTGTTTGAGATCAGGTACCCTTATTGATATTGTGTGCCATTCCTTCCCTTCCCTAGCAGTTTCCTACCACTGCCAATCCCTTTCTTATAGTATTATGAAAATGTTCAGGGTCCGCTTATGAGTGAGAACACGTGGTACTCAGTTCTTTGTTTCTGTGATAGTTCACTAAGTATTACAGACTTCATCCAAGTTGCTGTGAAGTTCATAAAAAGTAGAATAAAACTAAGTCAAGAGAAAAAGATAATCTGAGTGATATGTAAATTACTCTAAATTCTGGGTAAATTTTCAGACTTTTTATATGAATGTGACCTTGAGTTACTTCACTTTAAGGCGCCTCACAGGTTTAGTATAGAATTAAATGAAATAATACACACAAAAGTTTTTGGTGTAGTTAACAAGAAATATTACTTCCTTTTTCTTCTTAGATCCTTCTACAGAAGATCTCAAAAGATGATTGTTTTAAAACCTGTACTTAAATTCTGTGTTGACCATCAGACAAAGAAATGTTTGTATAATCACCTTAAAATTTTCTGTAGTAGTCAGCATTTGCAATCAACAATTTGTTTCTGAAATGTGTGCACATAAAGCACATTAGTAGGCAATACCTGAGAATGCCTTTTTTAAAAAATATAAAGTAATACATGTTTTTTAGCTCTGCTTCTTCCTATTCAAGTGAGTACTGCTTCTAAAACTGAAATTAAATTTCATCCACAGAATTCAGAAGTACAGTGTAGTGGTTTATACTGTGTCAACTTGGCTAAACAAAAATTAAGTTTCCTAGAACCCATTTTCCTGTATGGTTGTGGGCTAGACTCGGTCAAAAGATAAATTTGTGTGAGATTTGGAATCTGGAAGTGAAGTGGTTGAATGACTTTCTGAAGGTTGTTATGGTGAGAGAAAAATGTTGAAATGCCGCTGGGTTCCACTCTGTCCCTGTTATTCCCTGATCTGTGTCTAGAACTACCAGCCCTATTGACCAATGACTCTAAGACCCACCACCAGATACACGGCAGTAAACTTACAGAAGCAGCAGCTATGCAGAGGCAACAGCCTCTACTGACTTCTTTACCACCGCACCAGTCCTTTACTCACTCCTTACTCTTGAGGATCCCACTCTAGTAGCTGAATGTGCCTAGCATCTAGATTTCCTTAAAAACTCTAAGTTGTCCATGCCATTATTTCAGAAGGGCTGATTAGTGAACTGTTTTCCAGAACCTTTCACTCTCCCCTTTGGACTTACTTCTCCATCTTTGCCCAAGATGGAACAAACTCTAATTCCCAAAATAAATTCTACATTCCATAAGATTCATTGTGCTTCTCTTTCCTTGTTTGATACCTATTTTAATACATACGGCATTAAGAAGGTATCTTAATCTAAGACATTAAGAAGGAACAGTACTCACAGAGAACATGAAAACAGAACCAGCCCAGGGTGAAGGTTCCCTCTCCTTGACCTGCCTTGATCTGTTCCATATATATGGAACATATCCATGTACATGTTTCCTCTGTGCAGCCTTAGAAATCCATATGGTGTTGCTTCTAATTTATATATCTGAACAACAAAACCAGTGTTTGGAAGACTGAAGCACATCTTTTTTTTTTTTTTTTTTT